AGAAATATTCTGCCTTTTCAATATTTCCTAGGATATTTCATTTTTCTGGGAGAGGGCTGGATAATAACTTCCCACAATATTAAATAGACAAAGATATTTATTTAATGTCATCTTCAAAGTAGTCAACCACTTAATAAAAAATATCTGATTTTGTCTGAAAGTCGCTTAGATCCAGCCCGTGGAGAATATCCACAAGTTTTGCACAGTTAGCTTCTGGCAAACCACACAAGGTCAGTCCTGCATTAAATCTCACTGCAGCAGTCTATCTTGGAAATAATGGAAAATGGAATGGATGGTTGCTATGTCTACGTTTAAAACCAGTGGGATATTTTGTTTGTGTGCTTTATTGTGTTTTTTTAAAACAAGCAACAACACACATGCCTAGATATTTTTGCAGTGAGACTGCAGTTTAGAAAGATGCTTTCTTTGGCATTTTTCAACCCACAGTTGCTCCCACACAAATACATAGCCAGCTCTCTTAATAGGAGAAAGAAAATATTGCCTCTGTCTCCTTATGCTAATATACAAGGAAAAATCCAGAATTGCTGCTTAATGGGGTAGAACGATAGCCAGTCTTTAATAATCTCCAATAAAATTTGACCAAACTGTTTTTGTGTGAAACAAACGGATGGCATCACTCACAATCATCATCAAGATGACTACTGTTGGCTTGAGTTACAGAAAGAGCACAATTTCATCTAAAAGAGGGCTTTTTCCCTTGTCTTCCAAACTAATATTTCTTTTAGAAGAGAGGGCAAGGAGGTGGAATTGGAGGTCATTTTCAAAATTATCTTAGGAAACCAGATGTCTCCCTTTGTGTGTGTATAAGTTTGTGAAATCAAGACTTGTAGAAGAACAGCCTTCCCAATTCCATGGATTCTGTTGTCTCCAAATAGTGTGTTTTTTTTTGCTCTGGGCCAACTTTATATTCTTCTCTACAGGCTGAAATCCTTATTTTTGTCCCCACAGGAAAAGACACTGAGCAATCAGAAAAACTGAAGCAACAGAGTTTTTTTTCCTTTTTACAAGTAGGCCAGCTCTTTCAAAAGGAAGAGATTGTTATGGATCTGGCTCACATATTGCATCAAACTCTGGTATGCTAAATTATAGTTTGAATAAAGTCCCATTGGCTGTCTTGACTCAATGCACCAAGATGCAAGCTAGGGTTTACAAACTAGAAGGGTAGGTTCCCACCAGAGGTGGGTTCCTACCAGTTCGCACCTATTCGGTAGAACCGGTTCGTCAAATCTACCGAACCGGTTAGAAGAGGTTCCACCAGTGGAC